TTTTGTTTGTTTATTTGTTATTACGCAATGATTAAGATTTTGATGATGTTCCAGAGATGTTGGGGCGGCAGGTAGCTTAGTGGTTAAGAGCGTAGTGCCAGTAACCGAAAGGTCGCTGGTTCTAATCCCTGTGCCGACTAGGTGAAAAACCTGTCGATGTGCCCTTGAGCAAGGCACATAACCCTAATTGCTCCTGTAAGTCGTTCTGGATAAGAGCGTCTGCTAAATGACTAAAATGTAAAATGTTGGGGTCTAACTGTACTGAGAACTGAGCAACTACCTATGCAAGAGTTTGACTGTAGCATACGATTATACTTCAGTGTTTCATTGTGCCAAAGGAGTTCAGTGTGTTGGGTCTGTCTGTCTGTTGTGTGGGAGGGCAAGAATGGGGCAGGGGAAGGGTGAAAAAAGGGGGGCAGCTACTATATCTAGCATGGCGCATTGTTTACTGAAGTGTGTGGGGGTTAAAGTAATTAGAATAGGGCTCCCCTAAAGACCCTGGAGTTTGCCACTCAGGATATGTCCCTGTACTCACAGTTTTCATTTGATACACTGGATCTCCGTCATTCATCACCTTATGTCGGATTCCTCGCCCTTTTCCTTTTCCTCCTCGACCCCCATCCCTTTCACATTCATTCCCTCTTTCCCTCTCTTTCAACTCCAGCCTACTCTTTCTCTCACTCTCTCCCTTTCCAAAAAAGTTTATTATGGCACGATGTTTGTTACCAAAATAATGATTTGAAATGATAGAGACATAAGTAAGCATAGACTATGGAAGGATGCATCACTACTAGACATTTCATTCTGAAGATGGAAATGATTGTTTGTGGGGTAGAGAAGGAGAGGGATCGGGTGCAAGGTGGATGGGAAGAAGAGGGGATGGGCACAACTGGCTTAGATACAGCTAAAGACAGAAGTGAATGGATCATACACCCCCCTCCCCCATCATCGTTCAGGTAGCACAACTCACACAGACACTTTAAATGGAAATATAGACCGTTCCATTTACAATGTCAGGGGGGAGGGGGGTCTATTGTCAGAGCAATAATTTGTTCCAAACCCTCTATTTTGTGGGCCAGTCCAATGCCATTTACCTAAACTTACTGTCAAAGTAACCTTACCACCTGTGAAAAAAAATAATAACCCACAAAAAAACCCTGTTAAAAACTTTATTCTGTAATGTTTTCGTCTAGATTTTAAAGCATGCAAACACATCTAGTCTCTCTGAGTTGTGGGATGGGTTTTCACAAAACAGGTGATGAATATACTGTGAATAACCTCCATCTTATGTGAATGACTGTACTACCACAGTTGTGAGTCTGACTGTATGTCAGTGGGAATGTGTGTGTGGGCTACCAGAAGACACGTTGTGCAAGTGGGGGGGGGTGTGATCCTGCTCCTGAACTTGGCCACGCCCACTTGAGAGGGTTGACAGCTCAACACTTGTGTAACTTTACTTGAAACCCAAATACAAAACATATCAAGAGGAGCAGAGTAAAGCCAGAAACCCCGCTGTCATATATTCTCTCTTTCCCCGACGTCTTCCTCCCTCTTATCCCCCTCTCCTTCTCTCCCTCCTCCACACATTTTTGAGGAAGAAGCTCTTTTTGCATCCTTGTTCTTGTGTTTTTCTAACATATTGTTTAAAGTTGAATTCTAATGCATGCGTGGGAGAAAAAAATAAGACGGCTTAACTTATTTGTGAATGGCCAGAATGAAGTAACTCTCTTTTCGCCTGCAATCTCTGTCTTCCTCTTTCTCTGTCAGCCAGTGGTGAGAGGATGGGGGGGGAATATGCAAACTGAAACAGACTCTTAAAAAAAAACATATTTTTCTATATCGCTGTTTTATGTGAATTTTTTGGTTGTCATATTTTTCGTTTACTGCAGTGTGGCTTGACTGAATTGGTAGAAATACACTGGCTATCTTTCTATGTGTATTGCACTTGGAAGGAAAGGGAGGTGAAATAGGCTCAGTTTCATGAGTCCAATATCTTCCCTGATACACATACAACAGTCTGGGAGATCTCCGCAGTGCTTTTGGCATTGCGTCAATCTGTCCATTCTGTTACATTTTTACATGTCTTTTGCATCTGTACATCTCTATATATCATTCTGCCTGTCTATAACAGTAGGTTATATATCTATTAATCTACCCGTCTAGGTACAGATACGTCAATATCATTGTTTTACTTCATTTGTATCTGTTGTTTATCTGTTAATTTTCCTTATTTGGTGCTTTTATTTATTTATTTTTTCATTTGGTGCCTTGTTTACTCTTTTGTCTGATTCGTGTTTTTATCGCTGATTTGTGTTATGAATTTTACATTTGAAAGAACATTGCACTACTAACGCCAATGCAGCTAATGTTTCTATTGGTCCTGCCAACTGTTGCGCTGTGACTACATCGCCGCTAAGCGAATAAGGCACTGGGTGCAGCCATGCCACTTTCCTATCAGGGGAGAAAGAGAGGGAAGACAGAGACGGAAGAAGAGAAGGTTACTACAATAACACTGAATGGGGTTTATGCTATAAAGACTGATGCTGGATACAATTTTAATGTCATACCACAGGAAAATAAAATAAAAGAATCAAGAACTGTATAAAATATATTTCAATGGAATGTTTATTATTTACCTTTTATATTTTTGAAACGTGTAAAGAAAAAAGACTAATAAACAGTAATAATTTAACAAACAAGTTTGTGAAAAAAAGAGACTTAAACACAGTTCTATTATTAAAAGTATGAACGTTTGAAAGTGAATGCTAATTAAACTAAAAAACTCTTCTCCATTACAGATAGAAAAATAAAACAAGAATAATCAAATGAAAAAACACACAAAATTAACTGGAAAAACAAACAAATCCAATTTAAAGAGAAAACATCAGAAACTCAATAAAAATATTAAAAGCTTATGCCAAAATTTTCAATTTGTGTCCTGTGCATTTTTTGTACATTTAGCTAACAACTACTATCATGACTGATATTATGGAGCTGACTGACTGACTCTCATGTTGAGGACTTTTAGGGGTCATAGTTAAAACATGATTATTGCAGCACAAACATCATCGTCCACTCACATTTATGTTGTTTATCCTAATTAAATGGCACGTTTAATACATTACATTTAAGTCAAACATCCCAGATTTTATTCAAAATACATATTTCATACATTTTCATAATAATTTGACTTTTCTGTTAAAAAAAACAATCACATAACATGATGTTTGACTGTCTGTTAGGCTTACACTGGTTTCTCATTTCAGGCACAGATACCCTAGTCTAGCAGGATACCAACAAACTTGATGACATACGTAAATATAATGTAAATGACATACCCTTACGGGAAACACCACATGATTTCACATGTGAAATTTCTACGTTTTGCACATGTAACATTTTATTTCACGTGAAATTTCACATGTGAAATCATTTGAAACCATGTGGTTTTGGAACACTTCATGTGATGATATAGATTTATTTCATTTTATTGCATTTTCACATTTGAAATCGTATTTTCACATGAAATAACTGTTCACATGTTGAGCTCAAATGTCACATTTGAAAACAAGAGACACATGCGAGGTCAGTTGTTCACATGTGAAACCATTTGTTCACATGTATTCAATATAGAGTTCACATGTTAACGCCACCCTTTCACATGTGAGAATAACATGTTTTCACCTCACATTTGAATTGCAGTTTCACATGTGAAAGACTTTCACATGTGAAAATCAAATTTGGACTTTCACATGTGTTTCACACCCCTTTGTGTTACAGCCTGAATTTAAAATGGATGACATTTAGATTTTGTGTCACTGATCTACACACAATACCCCATAATGTCAAAGTGGAATTATGTTTTTAGAATCTTTTACTAATTAATGAAAAATGAAAAGCTGACATGTCTTGAGTCAATAAGTATTCAACCCTTTTGTTATGGCATGCCTAAATAAGTTCAGGAGTAAAAAGGTGCTTAACAAGTCACATAATAAGTTGCATGGACTCACTCTGTGTGCAATAATAGTGTTTAACATGATTTTTAGTGATTCAGGAGTAACATTAAAACAGAATATGCCACACCAACATTAGACAACTATACAAAAAAAACTCAAATTGCTGAGATAAGTAAATTAAATCAATGATGAGAGAATAATCAAATGAATGATGAGTATTTTGTGTAGATCGTTGACATAATTTTTTTTTTTTTTAAATCCATTTTAATCCCACTTTGTAACACAACAGATTGTGAAAAAAGTCAAGGGGTGTGAATACTTTCTGAAGGCACTGATAAAAATGAGTTTTATTTTACCATTATTTTACCAGGTAAGTTGACTGAGAACACATTCTCATTTACAGCAATGATCTGGGGAATGGGGGGGTTAATGAGCCAATTGGAAGCTGGGGATGATTAAGTGGCCATGATGGTATGAGGGCCAGATTAATTTAGCCAGGACACCGGGGTTAACACCCCTACTCTTACAATAAGTCCTATGGGATCTTTATTGACCACAGAGAGTCAGGACACCCGTTTTAACGTCCCATCCGAAAGACGGCACCCTACACAGGGCAATGTCCCCAATCGTTTAAAACAACCAAAAAATATTTAACCTTTATTTAACTAGGCAAGTCAGTTAATAACAAATTCTTATTTACAATGACGGCCTACACCGGCCAAACCCGGACGACGGTGGGCCAATTGTGCGCCGCCCTATGGGACTCCCAATCACGGCCGGTTGTGATACAGCCTGGAATCGAACCAGGGGGTCTGTAGTGACGCCTCAAGCACTGAGATGCAGTGCCTTAGACCGCTGCGCCAATCTTTGCACTGGGGCATTGGGATATTATTATTTTTTGACCAGAGGAAAAGACTGCCTCCTACTGGCTCTCCAACACCACTTCCAGCAGCATCTGGTCATCTTCTTTATCCTGAGTAAACCAGAAGGTAGGTAACTAATAATACATAGACTAGGTAAACAAATATATTTGTGTGTGAGTGTGCGCACGCCCACACGTTTGCATGTCATGTCACACAATTGTGCTTGAACCGGAGTGGGACTGTGTGTGTGTGTGTGTGTGTGTCACGTCCTCCTGGAGAGTTTCCAGGTGATGACACTACCCAGTATGACACCTCCGAGGAAGACCAGGATGAGCCCTGAAGACCAGGCGCTCATAGAGGACATCCTCTCCACCTGCACACGTGCCAGCTCAGCAAAACTGTTCACCTGGGAAGAGAGAGAGAAAGATAGGGGGAGAAGAGAAAGAGGGGGAACAAAGAAAGATGAGGAGAGAGAAAGGGGGAGAAGAAAAAGAGGAGAGAAAGAAAGAGGGCCGAAAGAGAGAAATCAATGACAATCCAAGTTCAGTTTTCTCTTACAACAGTTAATACCACATCATACACTTCAACCAAGACCAAGTTTATATCAATATAGAATATTGCCCATTTGGTTTATTTTAATACAAAGGGGAAACACTTGGGGGACAGCCTCTGATGGTATCCATATCTTACCCATCCTCCATGTTTCTGGATCCAGTCCAGTAATTTGCTTCTGAAGTACTCCAGAGTCCACTTCAGAATGTCCTTCACTAACTGGGGGAGGTTAGCAATCACCACCTAACAGAAACGAAAAGAGTGATTTAATACACACACACACACGCTTACAAACAGTGATTGTACTGTACGTCCAATAATAATAATAACAAAGTAACAAGAACAGTGTATAACATACCTTGACAGCTATCCTCCCTGCTACGTAGAACAGCACAGCAATTCTCTCCCAGGTGATTTGACCATCCTCAAATACCTTTTCTACCAACTTCCAGTAGTTGGTCTTGCTGGTCATTTGCCCCACCATTCCATCTATCGCACTGTTGCTCGGACAGACGAGTTGAGGGAGGTAGGGTAGGAATTAGACTACTGACTTAGACCATTGTAAACTAACACACAGATAGACACACATACTCTATATTCATATTTGTTTACCTACCCAGCAAACCAAAATTGGTTCTGTGAAAGTTCCCAGAACATTCGTTAGGTTGCGGAAAATGTTCTCATAACACAAAAACTGTCCACTTGTGCTGATGATTATACAGTGTTTGTATATAACATTTGCCTGATGTTGCAAGAATGTTCCCAGAACACATTTCATTTTTGTTATTACATTACCTGGAAACCTAATGAGAACATTTGGGGAATGTTCTGTTGTGATTATTACAAATGTTATGCACAACATTTTAGTGAATGTTAGGAGAACATTACAAGGATGTTCATTTAAAACATTTTCTGAAGAACAAAATGGTTAATGTTAGATAAAACCCTAACTAGAACTTAATGTGACTCTTAGATAATGTTATGGGAATGTTCCTGGTTTGCTGGGTAGTCTATTGCATCAAATTCATCAACGTGAATTCACATGAATAACAGTTTGAGAAATTGAACAGGTACTGTAAAACACAAAGCAATGGCTCTAATGTCAACTGACTCGTCCAGCTTCCCGTCCTTCTTGAAGGCGTCTCCGATGGTCCGTATCATCACAGCCAGCTGCAACACCATCTTCTGCTCCTGATCACTCTCCACCTCCTGGGTTTCTGTGGGGTGCGCTACCAGGACTTCTGAATACAACACCTCCTCCAGCTGCTCCTGCATCACTCTGGGGACAAGAGAGCATTCTGGTCCAGAACTACCCCTTATTAGAGCACATAGCCTGCTGTAGTGTGTCAAACTAAACTACTGTTGTCACGACACACAGTGTCTGCCGGTTTTCATTTCTTCCTTGCACTTAACTGATAATGTAGAGAATACATTGTTGTTTTTTTTGCTGTCTGTTTTTGTCAATTCCCAACCCCACAGGTTTACAGCTAGGTGTGTCTATAGGATGCGTCTTTGTGGTCAGTTTTATGAGTATCTGTGAAAGTGAAACTCACCTATTCAGCAGGACCTCTCCTACTCTGTCATCTGTAGAACAAATAAAAAATGAAACCAAAACCAGTTTAGGTCTAGTCGACATAAAATAAAACCAAATAGAACAGAATCATGATAACTAGCATTGAAAATGTACTGAAAACTTGGTTATATTGTTGCAGTGATGAGATATTGCACTGGCACACCTAGCTACCTGATGTCTCTACACACGCCATTGACAGTCCACACCCAGGCCAAATGATAACTGTAACTTCAGAAAACTTTAGTACAGTAATTGTAGTTCTTCTCTTATACCCGTATGAAACTATTATACATCTATTTGACAGACAATGGTTGCTGCTGTTTTATCTCTATTAAGAAAATATGACAATCCTTAAAGATAATATGCAGAATCTACAAGCGCAAGAAACAAGAACAACCCGATAACAAGACCTGACAATGGAATGAAAGACGAGATTCGAGAGAGAGCAGAGGACGGAGACAATCGGCGCGTGCGCATTGTCAATATGGGTCCACACGCTAATGTGTCCGTGTGGAAACTGGCTAACATACACAACATGCTGGCTGATTCTTTGGCTGCTGTGCTAGCTAGGTAGCTAGTTGATTTTTTTTCTTCCGGCTAGCTAAAGCAGAGAGGGTGGCAACTAAGCTAGTAAAGTGGGAGGGAGTTAGCGCGACAGGACAGAACATTATTTCTTCAGGCAGGACGTTGCACTCGTCGTGGGGAACTTTTCTTTTGATATCTGAACTGAAATTTTGCGAAGCTAGCTAGCTAGCATTATTTGTGGTTAGCACGCTGACGGACTACAGAACAAGCAAGGCAGTGTCATTCCATCACTGATACATTGTGTCATGTTGATGATCAACACAAGTTAGAAGTTACTTCTTGCAACATTATATCATGGCTGGCAGCACCACCAAGACAGTCCACGATATATTTCAATCTATGGAGTACGGACCGAGTAGTTCCAGCACTGCTACTGCTCAGGTAAAAACAAAACAAAAAACATGTATTTGCTGCACAAGTGTCGAGATATTGGTTGCATAGGTCTAAGTAGTAGTAAGACATAAAACCACCTTTGAGGTGAATTTACTCGAAATAACATTTTGTTAGAATATGTAATGACATTTTAACTTCACTCTTGTACATCACGTTTTACAGCATGTCTTAGATAATATGATTTCTGTTAGCTGGCTATTACCATGTGAAGTGTATTACTGTAACTAACTCACAAGGCAGACATGTGATTGTCTGACAATGTGTGATGGCGTCTGTGTGGCCCTGGGGATCAAGTTGGGTGGGATCTTCTGTAGAGAACAGTAGTCTGTCTGAACAGCCAGACTCTTTCAACAGCTAACCACCTAACATGTCCAGATTACATTTCAGAAATGTAACTTTTGCTAGATTATGTGCGGTAGGATGTGCTTGGAACGGGTGAAAAGTGTACCATGACCTGACTACTCTGTCAATATCTGATACTCCCTAGGAGCCCTGTTATTTTATTGGTTACTCAGGGTTGGAGGTGTCAGTCTCTGCAGCCAATCAAATGTGAGCATACCGCAACACAGAATTGGTCCCATTCATATCTACCTGTCCACATTTTAATAGGCCTACATTATAAGACAATTATGTCAACTATATTAAAATTCAGTCCATGCCACACATTTCTCCCACAACACTGGGGGGAGAAAACGACTACATTATGCTGCATTATGATGCTGCTGAATTCTTATTTTATTGTTACTACAATTGTCACTATATTATACAAGAATGGATGTTAAAATAGATGCTGGGGTTGAATTTGAAGGCAGAAGATGCTCTTATCACTATCAGTCTCAGTGTTTGGGGACCTTCCTGTCTGACTTCTTCCTCTTGTGAACCAGTATCTCTGCCTCTGGGCTGCTGGGGGGGCTGGTGGTTGACATCCTCATCATCACTCCACTCCCTCTCCTCTTGCACAAGGGACTCTGGCTGGGGGAACTCAACCTAGCATATTCAGTTCCAGGGCCCAGACCCTTACTACAATCCCCAACAGGTGTAGGGATTTCTCTTCCAGGGGTTGGCTGAAAATGGTGCCCGGTCTAAAGGTACACCCTCACCTGAATTGAGAATAGTCAGGGAGACATGATCAGTATTTTCAACCTTTGAACTTCTGCTGCGGTTGAGCTCATCCTCATCTTCAGAAGTTTATTTTGGGGTTGGATCCCTTGGAAGGAAGTAGGAAGTAAAAAATACTGTGCTAGTGTGGCGGGCCACAGGCCTCCTTTTGAGAGGCATTTCCAGCTCATCATCTCTTGGCAGGTGGATCCAGAGAGTTGGTTGTAGGCTAGGGGAACTTGGTATTGTAAGGAGCTGGGCAGGTTTTAAGTACCTTACACTGGGTAGGATACTATCATCACCATCCTCATCTTTAATGAGCCCTGGGCTAGTGTATGTTAGATGGTCTTCGGACCCTTTGCATGTCACTAGGGCTTGCTTGGGGAATTGTCAACCCATTAGTCACTGGATCAAGCTCCTGACCGCATCTTGGCTACAGCTCAATCTCCTGCAGCTGCTCAGGAGAAGGCTCCGAAGACACCTCAAACACTTGACAGAACATCGGAGGTGTCGCGGTCTGAGGCCAAGGTTGAGGATACTGCTCTGTGTTTCACCCTCAGCCCCTTTTGGTAACTCAAGGGATATCCCACTCTACTGCAGGGGTTCAGTGGGAATGTCAGGCAGTTCTCTGATTACACTGGACAGCTCAATCTCATTGCTTGTACTAGGCTTTGGCGGTATACCGTATATGCTGTATACCGGGGTATTTGGAAATAGCCATGGGATGGTTTTTTTTACCGTTGAAACTATTTATTTGGAATGGGATTTTTTTGGTGCTACTTTTTAAGTAAATACCTGCAGTCAACTTATGCAATACATTAGGAGATGAAGAAGAGACACGTTCTTCATTTCACCTGTAACATAATTTTTTAGGGCTGACCCCAATTAGTCGACTGGTCGATTGTTTGGTCGATAGGCTGTTGGTCGACCAAGATGTTTTTGTTGTTGAGCAGTAGCAAATATATATACAGTACCAGTCAAAAGTTTGGACACACCTACTCATTGAAGGGTTTTTCTTTATTTGTACTATTTTCTACATTGTAGAATAATACTGAAGACATCAAAACTATGAAATAACACATCATGTAGTAACCAAAAAAGTGTTAAACAATTCAAAATATATTTTATATTTGCGATTCTTCAAATAGCCACACTTTGCCTTGATGACAGCTTTGCACACTCTTGGCGTTCTCTTAACCAGCTTCACCTGGAATGCTTTTCCAACAGTCTTGAAGGAGTTCCCACATATGCTTAGCACTTGTTGGCTGCTTTTCCTTCACTCTGCTGTCCGACATCGGCCCAAACCATCTCAATTGGGTTTAGGTCGGGGTATTGTGGAGGCCAGGTCATCTGATGCAGCACTCCATCACTCTTCTTTTTGGTCAAATAGCCCTTACACAGCCTGAAGGTGTGTTGGGTGTTTGTACTGTTGAAAAACAAATGATAGTCCCACTAAGCCCAAACCAGATGGGATGGCGTATCGCTGCAGAATGCTGTGGTAGCCATGCTGGTTAAGTGTGCCTTGAATTGTAAATAAATCACAGACAGTGTAACCAGCAAATCACCCCCACACCATAACACCTCCTCCTCCATGCTTTACGGTGGGAACTACACATGCGGAGATCACCCGTTCACCCACACCGCGTCTCACAAAGACACGCCGGTTGGAACCAAAAATCTCCAATTTGGACTCCAGACCAAAGGACAAATTTCCACCGGTCTAATGTCCATTGCTCATATTTCTTGGCCCAAGCAGGTTTCTTCTTATTATTGGTGTCCTTTAGTAGTGGTTGTAAATATACACTACCAGTCAAAAGTTTGGACACACCTACTCATTCAAGGGTTTTCCTTTATTTTGACTATTTCTTACATTGTAGAATAATAGTGAAGACATCAAAACTATGAAATAACACATATGGAATCGTGTAGTAACCAAGAAAGTGTTAAACAGAGTAGGAGATGACAGCTTTGCACACTCGTGGCATTCTCTCAACCAGCTTCATGAGGTAGTCACCTGGAATGCATTTCAATTAACAGGTGTGCCTTCTTAAAAGTTAATTTGTGGAATTTATTTCCTTCTTACTGCGTTTGAGCCAATCAGTTGTGTTGTGACAAGGTAGGGGGGTATACAGAAGATAGCCGTATTTGGTAAAAGTCCTAACTCATGAAGCTGGTTGAGAGAATGCCAAGAGTGTGCAAAGCTGTCATCAAAGGCAAAGGGTGCCTACTTCGAAGAATCTCAAATATCAAATATACACTGCTCAAAAAGATAAAGGGAACACTTAAACAACACAATGTAACTCCAAGTCAATCACACTCTCCACTAAGGAAGCAACACTGATTGACAATACATTTCACATGCTGTTGTGCAAATGGAATAGACAACAGGTGGAAATGATAGGAAATTAGCAAGACACCCCCAATAAAGGACTGGTTTTGCAGGTGGTGACCACAGACCACTTCTCAGTTCCTATGCTTCCTGGCTGATGTTTTGGTCACTTTTGAATGCTGGCGGTGCTTTCACTGTAGTGGTAGCATGAGACGGAGTCTACAACCCACACAAGTGGCTCAGGTAGTGCAGCTCATCCAGGATGGCACGTCAATGCGAGCTGTGGCAAGAAGGTTTGCTGTGTCTGTCAGCGTAGTGTCCAGAGCATGGAGGCGCTACCAGGAGACAGGCCAGTACATCAGGAGACGTGGAGGAGGCCGTAGGAGGGCAACAACCCAGCAGCAGGACTGCTACCTCCGCCTTTGTGCAAGGAGGAGCAGGAGGAGCACTGCCAGAGCCCTGCAAAATTACCTCCAGCAGGCCACAAATGTGCATGTGTCTGCTCAAACGGTCAGAAACCGACTCCATGAGGGTGGTATGAAGGCCCGACGTCCACAGGTGGGGGTTGTGCTTACAGCCCAACACCGTGCAGGATGTTTGGCATTTGCCAGAGAACACCAAGATTGGCAAATTCGCCACTGGCGCCCTGTGCTCTTCACAGATGAAAGCAGGTTCACACTGAGCACATGACAGACGTGACAGAGTCTGGAGACGCCGTGGAGAACGTTCTGCTGCCTGCAACATCCTCCAGCATGACCGGTTTGGCGGTGGGTCAGTCATGGTGTGGGGTGGCATTTCTTTGGGGGGCCGCACAGCCCTCCATGTGCTCGCCAGAGGTAGCCTGACTGCCATTAGGTACCGAGATGAGATCCTCAGACCCTTTGTGAGACCATATGCTGGTGCGGTTGGCCCTGGGTTCCTCCTAATGCAAGACAATGCTAGACCTCATGTGGCTGGAGTGTGTCAGCAGTTCCTGCAAGAGGAAGGCATTGATGCTATGGACTGGCCCGCCCGTTCCCCAGACCTGAATCCAATTGAGCACATCTGGGACATCATGTCTCGCTCCATCCACCAACACCACGTTGCACCACAGACTGTCCAGGAGTTTGCGGATGCTTTAGTCCAGGTCTGGGAGGAGATCCCTCAGGAGACCATCCGCCACCTCATCAGGAGCATGCCCAGGCGTTGTAGGGAGGTCATACAGGCACGTGGAGGCCACACACACTACTGAGCCTCATTTTGACTTGTTTTAAGGACATTACATCAACGTTGGATCAGCCTGTAGTGTGGTTTTCCACATTAATTTTGAGGGTGACTCCAAATCCAGACCTCCATGGGTTGATACATTTGATTTCCATTGATAATTTTTGTGTGATTTTGTTGTCAGCACATTCAACTATGTAAAGAAAAAAGTATTTAATAAGATTATTTTATTCATTCAGATCTAGGATGTGTTATTTTAGTGTTCCCTGTATTTTTTTTGAGCAGTGTATTTTGATTTGTTTAACACTTTTTTGGTTACTACATGATTCCATATGTGTTATTCACAATGTAGAAAATAGTAAAAATAAAGAAAAACCCTTGATTGAGTAGGTGTCCAAACTTTTGACTGGTACTGTGTGTGTGTGTGTGTGTGTGTGTGTGTGTGTGTGTGTGTATGCGTGTGTGTTTTTTATATATATATATATATATATACAAAACACACACAGTGCCTTGGAAAGTATTCAGACCCCTTGACTTATACCATATTTGGTTACGTTGCAGCCTTATTATAAAATTGATTATTTTTTTTAATCCTCAGAAATCTACACACAATACCCAATAATGACAAAGCGAATACAGGTTTTTAGAAATTTTTGCAAAATAGAGCTCCAAGACAGGATTGTGTCGAGGCACAGATCTGGGGAAGGGTACCAAAACATTTCTGCAGCATCGAAGATCCCCAAGAACACAGTGGCCTCCATATTCTTAAATGGAGAAGTTTGGAACCACCAAGACTCTTCGTAGAGCTGGCCTCCCGGCCAAACTGAGCAATCGGGGGAGAAGGGCCTTGGTCAGGAAGGTGACCAAGAACCCGATGGTCACTCTGACAGAGCTCCAGAGTTCCTCTGTGGAGATGGGAGAGCCTTCCAGAATGACAACCATCTCTGCAGCACTCCACCAATCAGGCCTTTATGGTAGAGTGGCCAGACGGAAGCCACACCTCAGTAAAAGGCACATGACAGCCTGCTTGGAGTTTGCCAAAAGGCACCTAAAGACTCTCAGACCATGAGAAACAAGATTCTCTGGTCTGATGAAACCAAGATTGAACTCTTTGGCCTGAATGCCAACCGTCACATCTGGAGGAAACCTGGCACCATCCCTACGGTGAAGCATGGTGGTGGCAGCATCATGTTGTGGGGATGTTTTTCAGCGGCAGGGACTGGGATTACTAGTCAGGATTGAGGCAAAGATGAACGGAGCAAAGTACAGAGAGATCATTGATGAAAACCTGCTCCAGAGCGCTCAGGACCTCAGACTGGGGCGAAAGTTCACCTTCCAACAGGACAACAACCCTAAGCACACAGCCAATACAACGCAGGAGTGGCTTCGGGACAAGTCTCTGAAGGTCCTTGAGTGGCCCAGCCAGAGCCCGGACTTGAACCTGATCGAACATCTCTGGAGAGACCTGAAAATAGCTGTGCAGCAACGCTCCCTATCCAACCTGACAGAGCTTGAGAGGCGCTACAGAGAAGAATGGGAGAATCTCCCCATATACAGCGAGGGTTAAAAGTATTTAATCCCCTGCTGATTTTGTACGTTTGCCCACTGACAAAGAAATGATCAGTAGATAATTTTAATGGTAGGTTTATTTGAACAGTGAGAGACAGAATAACAACAAAAAAATCCAGAAGAACGCATGTCAAAAATGTTATGAATTGATTTGCATTTTAATGAGTGAAATAAGTATTTGACCCCTCTGCAAAACATGACTTAGTACTTGGTGGCAAAACCCTTGTTGGCAATCACAGAGGTCAGACGTTTCTTGTAGTTGGCCACCAGGTGTGCACACATCTCAGGAGGGATTTTGTCCCACTCCTCTTTGCAGATCTTCTCCAAGTCATTAAGGTTTCGAGGCTGACGTTTGGTAACTCGAACCTTCAGCTCCCTCCACAGATTTTCTATGGGATTAAGGTCTGGAGACAGTCTAGGCCACTCCAGGACCTTAATGTGCTTCTTCTTGAGCCACTCCTTTGTTGCCTTGGCCGTGTGTTTTGGGTCATTGTCATGCTGGAATACCCATCCACGACCCATTTGCAATGCCCTGGCTGAGGGAAGGAGGTTCTCACCCAAGATGTGACGGTACATGGCCCCGTCCATCGTCCCTTTGATGCGGTGAAGTTGTCCTGTCCCCTTAGCAGAAAAACACCCCCAAAGCATAATGTTTCCACCTCCATGTTTGACGGTGGGGATGGTGTTCTTGGGGTCATAGGCAGCATTCCTCCTCCTCCAAACACGGCGAGTTGAGTTGATGCCAAAGAGCTCCATTTTGGTCTCATCTGACCGCAACACTTTCACCCAGTTCTCCTCTGAATCATTCAGATGTTCATTGGCAAACTTCAGACGGGCATGTATATGTGATTTCTTGAGCAGGGGGACCTTGCAGGCGCTGCAGGATTTTAGTCCTACACGGCGTAGTGTGTTACTAATTGTTTTCTTGGTGACTATGGTCCCAGCTGCCTTGAGATCATTGACAAGATCCTCCTGTGTAGTTCTGGGCTGATTCCTCATCGTTCTCATGATCATTGTAACTCCACGAGGTGAGATCTTGCATGGACCCCAGGCCGAGGGAGATTGACAGTTCTTTTGTGTTTCTTCCATTTGCGAATAATCGCACCAACTGTTGTCACCTTCTCACCAAGCTGCTTGGCGATGGTCTTGTAGCCCATTCCAAACTTGTGTAGGTCTACAATCTTGTCCCTGATATCCTTGGAGAGCTCTTTGGTCTTGGCCATGGTGGAGAGTTTGGAATCTGATTGATTGATTGCTTCTGTGGACAGGTGTCTTTTATACAGGTAACAAACTGAGATTAGGAGCACTCCCTTTAAGAGTGTGCTCCTAATCTCAGCTCGTTACCTGTATAAAAGACATCTGGGAGCCAGAAATCTTTCTGATTGAGAGGGGGTCAAATACTTATTTCCCTCATTAAAATGCAAATCAATTTATATAATTTTTGACATGCGTTTTTCTGGATTTGTTGTTTGTTATTCTGTCTCTCACTGTTCAAATAAACGTACAAAATCAGCAGGGGATCAAATACTGTTTTCCCTCACTGTACATGTGTGCCAAGCTTGTAGCGTCATACCCAAGAAGACTCGAGGCTGTAATCGCTGCCAAAGGTGCTTTATCAAAGTACTGAGTAAATGGTCTGAATACTAATGTAAATGTGATATTTCATTATTAATATTTTTTAAATAAATTAGCAAACATTTCTAAAAACCTGTTTTTGCTTTGTCATTATGGGGTATTGTGTGTAGATTGATGATGGGAATAAAGCTGTAACGTAACAAAAATGTGGAAAAAGTCAAGTGGTCTGAATACTTTTCCGTATGGACCGTGTGTATATATATTTCCCTATCCTCCATTTTATAGCCTACTCTCTCAAACACATACACACTAATGTAAGCTCTGTCTCTTCTCTTAGGCTTGGCTTGAGCATCAGTCTCGTGCTCTCGGCTTGTTCGTCGATGGAAAGTTTGTCCGCCCTGCAGACAGACAGACATGCAGTGTGACTGACTCTTCAGGTAAAAAGAGAACCTACAGGGGAGCTATCCCCTCAATTTAATATCCTTGTTCTATCTATCTGTCTCTTCCTCCACTACCCACCGTTTTCTTGTTATATTTTAAATGCCTTGTTCATCAATAAAATGCTATTTTGACAGACAATGTTTCTCTCCCACTCCCTCCCCTAGGTGGGGCTGTGTGTAGTACTGTGTGTGCTGTGGATGATGATGTGTCCCTGTCTGTGTCCTCTGGGGCCAGTGGCTTCAAGGCCTGGAGTGCTCTCCCCTGTCATCTCAGAGCCAAGACTCTACTCAGGTAGCTACACACAACACCCCTTCACCTCTGTCTAGGGTTCACTGATACAACACCCCTTCACCTCTGTCTAGGGTTCACTGATACAACACCCCTTCACCTCTGTCTAGGGTTCACTGATACAACACCCCTTCACCTCTGTCTAGGGTTCACTGATACAACACCCCTTCACCTCTGTCTAGGGTTCACTGATACAACACCCCTTCACCTCTGTCTAGGGTTCACTGATACAACACCCCTTCACCTCTGTCTAGGGTTCACTGATACAACACCCCTTCACCTCTGTCTAGGGTTCACTGATACAACACCACTTCACCTCTGTCTAGGGTTCACTGATACAACACCCCTTCACCTCTGTCTAGGGTTCACTGATACAACACCCCTTCACCTCTGTCTAGGGTTCACTGATACAACACCCCTTCACCTCTGTCTAGGGTTCACTGATACAACACCCCTTCACCTCTGTCTAGGGTTCACTGATACAACACCCCTTCACCTCTGTCTAGGGTTCACTGATACAACACCCCTTCACCTCTGTCTAGGGTTCACTGATACAACACCCCTTCACCTCTGTCTAGGGTTCACTGATACCACACCCCTTCACCTCTGTCTAGGGTTCACTGATACAACACCCCTTCACCTCTGTCTAGGGTTCACTGATACAACACCCCTTCACCTCTGTCTAGGGTTCACTGATACCACACCCCTTCACCTCTGTCTAGGGTTCACTGATACAACACCCCTTCACCTCTGTCTAGGGTTCACTGATACAACACCCCTTCACCTCTGTCTAGGGTTCACTGATACAACACCCCTTCACCTCTGTCTAGGGTTCACTGAGGCCCACCAATAAAAAAAATGAGATTGATAAATGATAAAAAATATAAAAAAAGTTGATAAAAACACGTTAAACAAATAATTACAGATAATTTTGCAGGAGTAAATTACCAAGGCTACCACTAGGCTCCATGGCAACCATAAACACAAACACTACACTACAGACCACAATTTAATATCTAATATTTATGCCGGGCAAATTCAAGTTAGCATTTGTATTATCTGTATCACGTCTGTTGTCTCTTCATGTGTGTGTATGTGTGCTCGCGTGTGTGCATCCATCGGTCTGCGTGTGTGTGTGTGTCAGGTTGGTGAGTGGCCTCCAGAGACACGGTCAGTGTCTGTCAGAGCTGTGCGACCTGGCCCAGTCTCCCAGTTCCCCTTCAGCACTGGTCAGACTGCTGCAGTACTACTCCGGCTGGGCTCAGCTCAGAGACTCCCTCATTCCTGACTGGACACCACGTGGTAAGGCCGTTCGTACGCGCGTGTGTGTGCACGTGAATCTTTATCTGTGTGTGCATGTGCGTGGTGGAGATCTGTCCTTAGTATTGCACAACTGTGATTGTGAAGTGTGTGTATTGAATGTACTCTGTGTTTTGTGTCTTTCAGGTGTGGTGGCAGTGGTTGTCTCTGATGACTGTTCTCTCTACTTTCTCATGCTGAAAGTCTTGCCTGCACTGGCCATGGGTATGACAAACACATACACACACACAGATAAAGATCCAGGCTATCTAATCAACATGACCAAAGGTTAATTTCCTAGAAAGTCATGGAAACAAACAGTTTCAAAATGGACCCTGTCACATTGTACCCTGACAAAAATACCCTTCCGGAAAGTAAAGCTTTACTCTACCGTTTATGACCTTAACGTTTCTGTTTATTTCCCAGGCAACGCAGTGGTGGCGATCCCTGGCGTGGGGACAGCTCCTCCTGCTCTCTTATTGGCTCAGCTGTTTGTGGAGGCGGGACTTCCTGCGGGGGTGCTGAATGTGGTGACGGGCAACGTTTTGTCACTGGGTTCTAAAGTGGCTCAAAACCCCCACATCAGCTATGTCACTTACAGTGGCAACAAAAAGGTGGACACACACACACACACACACTCTCAAACCAATGTTTTAGTCAATAGGGCTTATACTTGCTTTTTTATGTATTTTTCCTGTATGCATCTGCTAGTGCATCTTCTTGCACCAGTAACACTTGTCTCTTCTTACTAGCACTAATTTTGCTGATAGCTTCTTTATTGAGGAATGTTTTTACGTGCTATGACTGTGATATGTGGTTGTTTATCTACCCTAGTTGAAAGCACTGACTGTAAGTCGCTCTGGATAAGAGCGTCTGCTGAATGACCAGAATTCTATGTAAATGTAATGGGACTGTAATTTAGCTGTGTGAAGTGAACATTTTCTATTGGTGCAGCAGTGAATTGACAGTTGTCCCACGACAATCGTGTGTGGTGTGCTTTGGATTGTGAACCTCCTCTTTCCGCTCTCTCACACTAACTTGTACCGTCCCTCCAATCCCCTCTTTCCTTCGTTTTCAGGATGGAGAGATGCTGTGCAGGGCCACAGCAGGCATGGGTGTTCCCGTCTCTCTCTCCCTCTCCCTCGGAGCCACCTGTCCCTTCATCATCTTTGAGTCTGCCGATATCGACAGCGCCGTGGATGGAGTGATAGAGACTGCCTTTAAGAAGAACAGAGAGGTGAAACGGCTGGCTTTCTTCTTTCTTTTCTCACTCGTTATTTGAAGCCAAATCAGAGAATGAATCAAGAGATTCCAGTGAAATAAGAAGATGCAATCCGAAGCATGGCCACAGGGGGTCAGTGTTGTACAGTATGACAGCTCTGGAGCTCTCCCTCGCTCTAGAAACTAGCACAGAAATATACACATTTAAAGCCCTCTCTCACTGACTCAATAGGCCTATATGACTTATCTGAACAGTAGACTAATCTAATGAAATAACCTGCCCTCTCTCTCCATCTTTATCTCTCACCCTCTTTCTCTTTCTCTCCTTCCCCCCTCAGTGCCAGTGGATGCTGTGTGTCCAGGAGTCAGTGTGGGACAGTGTTGTAGCCCGTCTGAAGGTTCGGATGGCAGGGATGAAGAGTGTTCCTCTCCTGGCCGAGGGGGACCGAAGGCTGGTGGACGCTGCAGTACAGGAGGCCCAACAGCAGGGGGCTACGGTCAGTCACTACATTTACATTTTAGTCATTTAGCAGACGCTCTTATCCAGAGCGACTTGCATGAGCAATTAGGGTTAAGAGCCTTGCTCAAGGGGACATCGACAGTTTTTTCACCTAGTCCGCTTGGGGATTGGAACCAGCACCCTTTCAGTTACTGGCCCAACGCTCTTGACCGCTAGGCTACCACATACACTGAGTGTACAAAATATTAGGAACACTTTCCTAATATTGAGTTGCACCCATCTTTTGCCCTTAGAACAGAATCAATTCGTTGGGGGCATGGACTCTACAAGGTGTTGAAAGCATTCCACAGGGATTCTGGCCCATGTTGACTCCAATGCTTCCCACAGTTGTCAAGTTGGCTGGATATCCTTTGGGTGGTGGACCATTCTTGATACACACTGGAAACTGTTGAGCATGAAAAACCCAGCAGTGTTGCAGTTCTTGACACACTCAAACTGGTGTGCTTGGCGCCTACTATACATACCCTGTTCAAGGGCACTTAAATCTTTTGTCTTGCCCATTCACCCTCTGAATGGCACACAATCCATGTCTCAATTGTCTCAAGGCTGACAAATCCTTCTTTAACCTGTCTCCTCCCCTTCAAATACACTGATTGAAGTGGATTTAACAGATGACATCAATAAGGGGTCATAGCTTTCACCTGGATTCTCCTGGTCAGTCTTTGTCATGGAAAGCGCAAGTGTTCCTAATGATTTGTACACTCAGTGTACACACTATAACCTGTGAAAGTAACCGCCCCTTCCTCTTTACTTCCGGGTCATGTCCCATAATTTTTTTTATGGGCTTGACGATTATATCATAAAATGTGTGAACGTGGTCATTTTAAGATATACAATTATATTAATGTTTGTGGAGGAACATACTTCTCCAGATGCCTTTTATGAAAGATTTGACTTGAAGACCATTCAAAAAGCCTACAAAAGTTCAAAGACTACAAGGCTACAAAAGTTCAAAGACTACAAGGCTACTTCCTGGTAAATGACGTGTCACTTTCATAGCGTATAGCCCTTAGTACAGGTGGGGGGCATCAGTCACTCAATACCATATAGGCCATAGGAAGGCAACATTTTGTACAAGCACTGCAGTGAGCAAAATAATCATTTCAAAAAGTCCTGAAGGCAGTAAATTCAATGCAAGTTCCAAATACTGCAACTCGGAATTCCATCTTGGACTATATGGACTATTTCCTCTTGCTTTAGCATTTTCTTTGTTTGTACCAACATTTTCTTAGATATGGTGTTGAGCAGAATGAATAAGAAGTCCCTTTTTAATAAATGTTAACCTAATGATGTGTTTTGCTTGTATCAGCTGATCCAGCCGTGTCCCCCGCCCTCCTCCGGTCCTACCTATCCCCCCACGGTGCTGTGTGGAGTAGCCCCCTCCTGCCCCTGTGTGGTGACCCCATCCCCCGGCCCTCTGCTACCCCTCCTCTCCTTCAGGAGCCACGGGGAGGGCATCACTCTGGGTAAGGAGGACCACGCCATACTATTTCTGTGACCACACCACACTCAAACATCAACCACTAACGAAACACTTATCTATCCAACTCTATTCATCTGTCTATCTGTATTGTCTTGACAGGGAACCACAGCCCTCACGGCCAGGCTGCCTCTCTCTGGACTGAAGACCTAACTCTGGCCCTGGAGGCTGCCAAGAGGTACAGACGCACCCACACTTACTTCCTTACACACACTATCTTGGTCTATAAATCTCAAGTCATCACGTCTGAAAACATTTTGTGTGGTGTATCCTCTCTGCATTAGATGTATAATTCCTGTCACCTGGAACCCACCTGATGGTCTATGAGATATAACCCATACACACCTTTATTAACACTTCCTCGACCTCTCTCCGCAGCCTGTCTGTAGGTTCAGTGTGGGTAAACTCCCACTCTGTGATGGACCCTTCCCTGCCTCTCTCTGGCCACAAGGAGAGTGGCAACTGCATCGATGGAGGGAAGGAGGTATGGACAATAGCCATTTGCTGTCCCTGTCCAGGGGGAATCTTGTTGATAATGTTTGTAATTATCCAATCTTTTCCGCTCTTCACACATACCTTCTAGGGTGTCGGGCTATAGGTTGTTTTAGACAGCGTCTCTTATGTCTGAGTGTCTCCTAAATGACTCTTTCCTCCTCTTTTCCAGGGTCTGTTCCAGTTCCTCCGCCCTTCCTCCTCTCCTCCTCTACCCCGCTCCTCTCCAGCCTCTGTTGATTACTCCAAGTTTGGAACGGCGGCATCAGCGGCCATCATTCCAGAGGGATCTAATTCATCCAGGTGTGTGTATATGTCTTCCTTGACTTCTTTTAAAGATGCTTTTGTACTTATTCAGTCACTTTGTAATGTTCTTTATTAAATCCTCTCTTTCTATCTCTCCCTCAGTACCCCTCGTTCCTACCTGCAGTATGTGGGGGGGAAGCAGTGTAAGTCGGAGTCTGGCAGCAGTGTGTGTGTCCTGGCACCAGGGGGAGCTGTGCTGGCCTACTGTCCTGACGGGGGGAGGAAAGATGTTCGCAACGCCGTGGAGGCGGCCATTAAAGTCCAACCTGGGTGAGCTCTGCTCTGCTTTAGGCTGGATTTTTATCCACCGAACGTCACCGACACTGTCGTCAAGGCCATGTGGTACTGGGGCAGTACGGAGGTGTGTTTGACCCCTGTATACTCACGTATCGGGGTCACACATCAACAAATAGCACTTAATTGGATTCCAGTAGAGTGTGTGAGTGAGCTGTGTTTAATGTTAATCTAACTTGGTCTCTGCCCCCCGCACCTCACTGATTCAGAGGGGTTGGGTTAAATGCAGAAGACACATTACAGTTGAATGCATTCAGTTGTGCAACTAGATATCTCCCTTTCCTTTTATCTCTGTACAGTGTGTGGTGAAGGCGGTTACGGAGTACGTTTAGTGGAGCATTAACCTGACTCTGGGCTCTATACAATATGGACTATCACGTATAAATGCCTTCCTTCTCTCATCTCTCCTTCGAAATGACTGGCAAGAAAGGAGTTCGAAAAGAAAATGCATATGGGTCTGGGTCTCTGTGTGTGATTTACACTGAGTATACCAAACATTAGGAACACCTTCCTACTATTGAGTTGTATCCCCTTTTGCCCTCAGAACAGCCTCAATTCGTCGGGGCATGGACTCTACAAGGTGTCGAAAGCGTTCAACAGGGATGCTGGCCCATATTGACTCCAATGCTTCCCACAGTTGTGTCAAGTTGGCTGAATGTCCTTTTGGGTGGTGGACCATTCTTGATACACACGGGAAACTGTTGAGTGTGAAAAACCCAGCAGTGTTGAGGTTCTTGACACAAACCGGTGTGCCTGGCGCCTACTACCATACCCGTTCAAAGGCACTTAAATATTTGTCTTGCCCATTCACCCTCTGAATGGCACACATACACAATCCATGTCTCAATTGTCTCAAGGCTTAAAAATCCTTCTTTAACCTGTCTCCTCCCCTTCATCTACACTGATTTGAAGTGGATTTAACAAGTGACATCAATAAGGGATCAAAGCTTTCACCTGGATTCACCTGGTCAGTCTGTCATGGAAAGAGTAGGTGTTCTTAATGTTTTGTATACTCAGTGCATATTTTCTCTCTCTCTCCTGACAGTTGGATGAAGAAGAGCCCTGTGGCCCGAGCTCAGTCCCTCTTCTCCCTGGCTGAGACCTTGGAGCTGAAGAGGCGGGACATGGCCGTGTCACTCCACTCCCAGACAGGCCTCTCATTGGAGGAGGCTGACATGGAGGTGGAGCTCAGCATCGCCCAGCTCTATGATTGGGCCGCCCGCTGTGATAAGGAAAGGGGCGGAGTTCCGGTGAGAATTTGTGTATTATGTCCTATAGTAGTAACTTTTGTATAATACTATTGGCTGTTTATGTTCAACACGTACTCACTCACCCGCAACGCTCTGGCTAGCACACAGGGCACCAACAAAGCCTCTCCACTTCAGGCGGTCACACTGTAGATAAAATGTCTCTTCTCTAATCTTGTGTTCTCTAGCCCGTCCCACAGTCCGGCTCGGCTCTGTCCATCCCTGAGGCTCTAGGAGTGGTGGGTGTGGTTCTCCCTGACTCCTCCCCCCTCCTCTCTATGGTCTCCTTGCTGGCAGCTGCTGTTGCCATGGGCAATGCTGTCGTCATGGTGCCCAGTCCAAAGTACCCCCTGCCTGCTCTAGAGTTCATCCAAGTGAGTTCTGTCCTGCCCCTTGACATTTTGATTCAACTGTGTGTTTGTGTGCACACTCTTGCTTGTGTATGCTGTTGTGTGTATTTTCCCCTAAACACATCTCTTCCCTGTCTCTCTAGGTTCTCCAGTCCTCAGATCTTCCAGGAGGCGTGGTCAGCATTATAACTGGTGGCAGAGATCAGCTGACCCAGGCTCTAGCCAATCACAGTGTCATCAAGGCCATATGGTACTGGGGGAGTATGGAGGTGTGTTTGACCCCTGTATTCTCACACACACCCAACAAATAGCACTAATATTGTTATTCCAGTAAGAGTATGTAAAATGACTGGGGTTTAATGTCAATCCTAATCTTTGTCTCTGTCGGTCCCCCCTCTCTCTCACTCACTCCCCTCACTCCTCCACTCACTCACTCAACTCACTCACTCAGCTCACTCACTCACTCACCAACTCACTCACACTCTCTCTCTCTCTCTCCTCCCCTTATCCATCCGTCGCTCGTCCTCTCTCTCTCTCTCTCTCTCCTCTCTCTCTCACTCACCCACTCCCGCACCCAACTCACTCATTCACTTCACTCACTCAACTCCACTCACTCACTCACTCACTCACTCACTCACTCCCGTCACTCACTCACTCACTCACTCACCGCACTCACTCACTCACTCACTCACTCACTCACTTCACATCACTCACTCACTCAACTCACTCACCCGCACCTTCACTCAACTCACATCACTCACCTCCACTCACTCACTCACTCACCACTCACTCACTCACTCACACACACACAGGGTTGCCAGTTCCTCCAGCACACGTGTGCCAGCCCTCTGAAGAGCCTGTGGCTCCACTGCCAGGAGGAGGAGGATGGAGGGAGAGACTGGGCCCAGCCTCATCCCTCACTCCTGGAGGAGATGTGGAGACAGGCCGTCCAGTGGAAGACTGTCTGGATCCCCACTGCTTAGAAAGAGAGAGGGGGGAGAGGGAGGGAAAGAGACAGATAGGTGAGAGAGAGGCGGGGGGAGACAGATAGCGGGGGGACAGTAGAATGAGAGATTAAGTATATTAAAACAAGAAAATGTATTCTAAGTGGGGGGGGGTCATTCTTAGTCGCGTTCTGGGAATGATTTTGTGTAACGCACTTGACAGACGGGCGATTTGGGAGTTTTCTACAAACCATATAAAACTTCCTCTTTCATGCAGAATATCATGATGACTATGAAACCTTCAAAGATGTTCCAGTGGTTTCCTCCCATCAGAGGACTGTAGGCCGATGACTCAGTGGTAAATAACACCAGATACATGGAGAGATGTTATAGAGAGATGTTATAAACGGTTATATCCTGTATGGATCACTGACCTCTACTGCTCCTGGTCTGACGCCTTAATAGTAATGGCGACGATGCATTCTCTACAGGAAGACGGCTTTAGTCAGCCAACAATACCTTCATCATTTTGCCTTACTGTTATATCAATAAGGGGCTTCGATTGAGAAAAAATGAAGATTTGTCCCCAATGAGAAGTTAATACAGCTGTACCAATTTTAGATGATTAATACTGTTATGTTAAACTGTAGTAGTGTTCCAAACACAAAGGTAGACATTCCTTTTGTGGGATCTTCAATCATGCCAGATAGGCTACTGTTTCAGCACAAGTAGTCTTCACGTTTCTGTCATATGTCCAATTAGACATTTTGAAATATATATGATAAAAACATTATAAATTATAATGTAGTTCTGACATTCAAAAGGCATAATAAAAAGATAATCACCTCAGGAAATACATCTCTGTTTTTTTAAGGAGTAGGCTATCTTAGTTCATGAGGGCTGGTCATGAGATTGCTTTTTGAGGAAGTGATTGTGTGACTGGCAGGCGCGTAAGTTGCAGGAGGTCATGAAGACGTGTGTGCGTTTTACCCCCTCAATTATATACCATGATGAATTTGACTGTTTATAAATTTGTTCCCTACTGTAAAGCGCCAAGCAGCTACTGGCTTTATGTGGCTTTACACCACACAATGCTACTCAATTCCTCATTTGTATGTGTGTAGTCAGTACCTCATTTTATGTTTGAAACCCACTGCTACCAATTACGCTTTTGGTTGGTCCTGGTCCTGAGGCAGAAGTTCATGGTTTGTGAAGGGAAAAAAGTTGAACACGGCTTCTAAGGAGAACAGAGGTGCAATATGTATTTTCATTATTTTCCCTTTTGTGACGGTAACGAGGAAATATGGTATGCCAACAATGTCCTCATCAGCTCATTTTTATATAGTATTCTGTAACGAATATAATAATGTTGTATTGAGGATTACTCCTCTCGAGACATGTAAAATCTGTTGGCCACTAAATCTGGTAAAACCATGTAACAACGGCTAGCTGGAGCTCATCTGAACCGTTGGCTTCTGAGCCCTCATCTTCTATGTACTTAATGCTGAGGCTACATACAGGCACCCTAGTCTGATGGCCTTGTCTCACATTTCGTCATTGTGCTGATAGTGCATCCTTTACTGTCATAATTGTATTTTACAAGGGCAGTGCCTTTCCCACATTGTGGTCATTTCCAGGCCTAGTGCTTTATCATAGCCTTATAGCATACCTGACATGGCTAATGCTATATTTAGGCTCTATCTGGACCTGCTTACTAAACTCAGCAAAAAAAGAAATGTCCTCTCACTGTCAACTGCATTTCTTTTCAGCAAACTTAACGTGTAAATATTTGTATGAACATAAGATTCAACAACTAAGACATAATAATGTGTCCCTGAACAAAGGGGGGGGGGGTCAAAATCAAAAGTAACAGTAAGTATCTGGTGTGGCCACCAGCTGCATTAAGTACTGCAGTGCATCTCCTCATGGACTGCACCAGATTTACCAGTTCTTGCTGTGAGATGTTACCCCACTCTTCCACCAAGGCACATGCAAGTCCTCAGACATTTCTAGGGGGAATGGCCCTAGCCCTCACCCTCCGATCCAACAGGTCCCAGATGTGCTCAATTGGATTGAGATCCGGGCTCTTCGCTGGCCATGGCAGAACACCGACATTCCTGTCTTGCAGGAAATTACGCACAGAACGAGAAGTATGGCTGGTAGCATTGTCATGCTGGAGAGTCATGTCAGGATGAGCCTGAAGGAAGGGTACCACATGAGGGAGGATGATGTCTTCCCTGTAACGCACAGCATTGAGATTGCCTGCAATGACAACAAGCTCAGTCCGATGATGCTGTGACACACCACCCCAGACCATGACGGACCCTCCACCTCCAAATCGATCCCGCTCCAGAGTACAGGCCTCGGTGTAACGCTCATTCCTTCGACAATAAACGCGAATCCGACCCTCACCCCTGGTTAGACAAAACCGCGACTCGTCAGTGAAGAGCACTTTCTGGCAGTCCTGTCTGGTCCAGCGACGGTGGGTTAATGCCCATAGGCAACATTGTTGCCGGTGATGTCTGGTGAGGACCTGCCTTACAACAGGCCTAGAAGCCCTCAGTCCAGCCTCTCTCTCAGCCTATTGCGGACAGTCTGAGCACTGATGGAGGGATTGTGCGTTCCTGGTGTAACTCGGGCAGTTGTTTGCCATCCTGTACCTGTTCCGCAGGTGTGATGTTCGGATGTACCGATCCTGTTTAGGTGTTGTTACACGTGGTCTGCCACTGCGAGGACGATCAGCTGTCCGTCTCCCTGTAGCGCTGTCTTAGGCGTCTCACTGTACGGACATTGCAATTTATTGCCCTGGCCACATCTGCAGTCCTCATGCCTCCTTGCAGCATGCCTAAGGCACGTTCACGCAGATGAGCAGGGAGTCAGTAGAAAGGCCTCTTTTGTGTCCTCAGTTTTCATAACTGTGACCTTAATTGCCTACCGTCTGTAAGCTGTTAGTGTCTTAACGACCGTTCCACAGGTGCATGTTCATTAATTGTTCATTGTTAATTGAACAAGCATGGGAAACAGTGTTTAAACCCTTTACAATGAAGATCTGTGAAGTTATTTGGATTTCTACGAATTATCTTTGAAAGACAGGGTCCTGAAAAAGGGACGTTTATGTTTTTGCTGAGTTTATTTAGCCATCCATTCATTGATATGTGATTCAGGCACTGAAATCATGCATGTTTAGCTTCATGCATGTTTAGCTTCAGGGCTCTTCAATCAGATCCGCTTTAGCTGACATTCGCATAGCGGTTGTTTTGGCGGTGTCAGAGGTGGGACTGCGTTGGTGGAACTGGCATTATAACTACGGTGAGGGGAAAAAAAGTATTTGACCCCTCTGCAAAACATGACTTAGTACTTGGTGGCAAAACCCTTGTTGGTCAGATGTTTCTTGTAGTTGGCCACCAGGTTTGCACACATCTCAGGAGGGATTTTGTTTCTCTCCTCTTTGCAGATCTTCTCCAAGTCATTAAGGTTTTGAGGCTGACGTTTGGCAACTCGAACCTTCAGCTCCCTCCACAGATTTTCTATGGGATTAAGGTCTGGAGACTGGCTAGGCCACTCCAGGACCTTAATGTGCTTCTGCTTTGTTGCCTTGGCCGTGTGTTTTGGGTCATTGTCATGCTGGAATACCCATCCACGACCCATTTTCACTGCCCTGGCTGAGGGCACATGGCCCCATCCATCGTCCCTTTGATGCGGTGAAGTTGTCCTGTCCCCTTAGCAGAAAAACACCCCCAAAGCATAATGTTTCCACCTCCATGTTTGACGGTGGGGATGGTGTTCTTGGGGTCATAGGCAGCATTCCTCCTCCTCCAAACACGTCGAGTTGAGTTGATGCCAAAAAGCTCGATTTTGGTCTCATCTGACCACAACACTTTCACCCAGTTCTCCTCTGAATCATTTAGATGTTCATTGGCAAACTTCAGACGGCCCTGTATATGTGCTTTCTTGAGCAGGGGGACCTTGCGGGCGCTGCAGGATTTCAGTCCTTCATGGCGTAGTGTGTTACCAATTGTTTTCTTGATGACTATGGTCCCAGCTGCCTTGAGATCATTGACAAGATTCTCCCGTGTAGTTCTGGGCTGATTCCTCACCATTCTCATGATCATTGCAACTCCACAAGGTGAGATCTTGCATGGAGCCCCAGGCTGAGGGAGATTGACAGTTCTTTTGTGTTTCTTCCATTTGCGAATAATCGCGCCAACTGTTGTCACCTTCTCACCAAGCTGCTTGGTGATGGTCTTGTAGCCCATTCCAGCCTTGTGTAGGTCTACAATCTTGTCCCTGACATCCTTGGAGAGCTATTTGGTCTTGGCCATGGTGGAGAGTTTGGAATCTGATTGATTGATTGCTTCTGTGGACAGGTATCTTTTATACAGGTAACAAGCTGAGATTAGGAGCACTCCCTTTAGGAGTGTGCTCCTAATCTCAGCTCGTTACCTGTATAAAAGACACCTGGGAGCCAGAAATCTTTTTGATTGAGAGGGGGTCAAATACTTATTTCCCTCATTAAAATGCAAATCAATTTATAACATTTTTTACATGCGTTTTTCTGGATTTTTTGTTGTTATTCTGTCTCTCACTGTTCAAATAAACCTACCATTAAAATTATAGACTGATCATTTCTTTGTCAGTGGGCAAACGTACAAAATCAGCAGGGGATCAAATACTTTTTTCCCTCACTGTAAAGCAGACATTGCCATTGGCTACACGGAGTCGCATTAACAGAAATCCCATGCAGCGTTGTTGTCCTCCACAATAAAATCGGGGAGGGGACTGTGGATCAGTTTTCATCCGTTAGTGCGTGAGACTAACGTACTATCTCAGACAGCACTGGACAATTTTGACGAAACTTGTGTGAATGATGCGTCTTGCAATAGAGTCCCGACATCTACAAAATTACACTGATTGGCAAGATGGTGGCGCTATAACGAGATTGAAAATGCACATTTGAAAAGTCATGCCCCTCACCCCGTTTTACCTAAAGTCATGAAATTCGGTACGTACATCCATCTCCTCACAAGGAACACATTTGC